AAGGCACAGCTGGTGTCAAATATCGGCGTTTTAATCACTTCGTTTGGGGCAATTGGTGTCTTTTGGTACCAATTGAAAACATATATATTATCGACGAACCAGCTCAAACAAGACCGAATGACACCGAAACAAATTCACAACATTTAATAAACCAGAGATTGGACGGATGTGAAAAGCGATTGGATGAAATGGATAAACGATTGAAACGTGTAGAAGATGGAAGGTATGTAATGTAATATTTATTTTTATAATAATCAAGACATACTGTAAATTGCCAGCTAAATTTCATAATTTTATTATTAATTTTTCAGGAATTCCTGAGCTGCAACGAATTAAACCAAGATTAGGAGCGATTTCTTCGAATGTGCCTTCAAAATGCTGTGATCTGTCACTCAAAAAGCTTTTTTTTATTCAATAAAATTCAGTCAGTCGTAGTGTTAATCTTGTGTTTTTTTTTATTTGAAAAAAAGAGCTTGGTGGAGTTTTTTAACCGCAACTGATAATGTCTCCTCTAGGACTTCGTCACCCTCACACTTTACGATCTATCGAAATAAAACGAAAAAAGTATCAACGATTGTACACAATTCAATTCGAAAACGTAACAATTTTTACATACCAACGACTCCAAGTCGATATCAGCTTTTTTATCGTTGACGGTTACCACTAAACTATCGCCAACGATTGAATTGGGAACCGAATCATCTCCGAACATATCTTGCAGTGTTTCAATTAAACACTCTTTGAAATGCAATCGATCTGATTTTGTGCATGCGCCAGTTGCTCTTATTGTATTACCGACGAGTTCAGTTTGCATGAGACTCGCTACAACTGTATCGGCATACATATCGGTAATTGGTGTTGCTTCCCATTCCATGATCAGTAATTTTCCATCAATTGTTATGTCAATGCTATTGAAAATCTTGAATTTTGAATCGGCTTCGATGGTTTCTACTGTACCGGGTCCACCTATGCGATCCAAAAGCATTTTCAAACTAATAACACTGCCATTAAATGCAATACTTTGACGTTGAGTCACCACTGAAATGCTCATGTCAGTGTATTTCGGTAAATCAGTCGATGCCAAAATGTGGTACTTAAAATCTCGTTTCACTAAAACGCCCGATAATGTATCACCATCGTCTGGTTTTTTAATCGCCAATGTGCCCATCACTTTGGCCGTTTTTTCCCCGCGGAAATGCAAACTAACCGTGTGCGTATTGCGTGGGTTGTAAAAAGTAATATTTGCATTCTTATCGCTTTCATATTCTCTCTGAAGTGCCGATTTCAAGCGGAACATTTCGTTTTGTTCGCCATGAACGAGAACAACATGGATCGGTTTTAGCAAACGAATAAATTCACTGGTCTGTTGATAGTCTGTGTGAGCCGAAAATGAAATATAATCAACTGACATATTCAATGGAACTTTTTGACCGGACATCGTTGTAATCTCTTCTGGTTCCGAGAGAATGGTTTTGGCCAATGTTCCCTCTACACAATAACCTATTCGATTGAATGAATAATAATTGCATTAATAATGATGAAGAGAGAGAGAGAGAGAGAGAGAGAGAGAGAACAAGTAAAACAAACCGGCAATGATGACGCCATTTTTCGGATCTGAGCACCATAATTCAAAGAGTTCTCTTGATAAACCGCTTTGCATCATACCCGGCGATGCCATCACAACGCACGGGCCAACATCTTCGAAATGATCGATTCCCTTTAAATTCGAAATGTGTCGGAAAACAAAGGGGTTATTTATGGCGATCTGTCTGCGGATTTTGTCGTTCATCGCATTGATATACGTCTGATAGACTGCCATGCACTTCTTTGCCAATGACGATGCATAGTAGATGGGAATTTCTTGTAATTCAGGATTTAGAGACCAAAATTCGTCCAAAATTAAAAGCAGTTCTTGGGCACGACCCAATGCAAACACTGGAATCAAACATCGTCCACCTTGCTGAACGATTTTTTGTACTAAGGCAGTAAAACGAGATTCACGATCTTCGCGTTTCTCATGTATGTGTGTTCCATACGTTGATTCGGTGATTAAAACATCTGGTTTCATCGTTGGAATTTCGGCTGCCATTAAATGACGATCTTCTTGACGTGAAAAATCACCCGTGTACAAAATTTTCACACCTGAGATATCAATCATGAACATGGCCGCCCCTAAAACATGACCGGCATTGTAGGCCCAAAATCGAACGCCCATCACATCACGCTCTTCGTGGAAATTGATTGTTTCGATTTTCTCCATGCTTGCCTCGAGATCCGCTTCCGTGTAAAGCATTTGTTCGGTTGATATGTTACTAACTTTTATATAATCGGATAACATCCATCGATAAATGGCTTTTGTTGCGTGCGTCATAAAGCAACGACCTTTGAAACTGGTTTTTTGTAAAAACCACGGCAACGCACCACAATGATCCAAATGGAAACTGTGAATTGTGAAAAAATGAAAAATCGATTAATTTTGAATTTAACTGAATTGACATGATTTCCGGTTTAATCAATTTATCGATGATTAAACATTTTCATGTTTCATCTAAACTTACTGTGAAATGAAAAGCAAATCAACTTCGTCTGCTTCGATGAGATCAACGAATGGCAATGCATCCATTCCCGATAGTCCTGGATGAATGCCACAGTCCAACATAATTTTTTTCCCTTTAAACTCGAGCATAATACACGATCTGCCCACTTCTTGACCGGCGCCACTGTAAAACAAAAATCAAAATTGCATCATCTTACAAACTGTTTGTATACCAAAAATCACGTAGCCATAACAATTATGTTCAAGGCAAAAGTCCTCAATGGTAAAACCATCTACGAAATACTCACAGTGGTCGAATTAGGAGTACGTCACTTTCTTCATCGGGAATATCAATATCGTTTTTCCGTTTCGTTGCCATATTTCTGCTGTTTAAAATCAATGAATTTTTTTGTTCAAAATTAGTTTGGTTTGGATTCAGCTACAACACTGTTTCGCGTTACTCGTCTACACAAACTGTGTTTTGTTCATGCGGCTGTCTGACATTTCGATACACATTGACATTTCATTCATTTGTTTACTGTGTACTCACGGCGAAATGAGTTTGATGGGTAGAATGAAACCTAACCTCAAATCAATTCAACCACATTTCAACTGAATGTATCTCCATTCATTCTAAATTTGTTTTTATTGGAATAAAAGAAATGGCTCTGATAGCAAAGTGCGGTGAATACGTCATTTTAAGTGCACAACGAAATATTTTCGTATGGAATACGAAGAATCAAACGCATTCGTTGGCTGAAGTGCCGAAAATTCCGCGAATTCTTGCCGAAAACAATGTGGTGAAAAATGGAAAATCATCAAAAAATGAAAACAATGAGAATGAGGAGAATGCAGAGGAAGACCATGGTAACATTGAATTCGGTGACATAAACCGTTTGGCTGTTTCGCCTTCGAATCAACTAGTAGTCGTTACAACGATTGGCGATAAATTCCTATTTCTCTATCAAATAAACAACGGAACGCTGAATTTAGTGCAAAATCTTCAATTGACCAGAGCCATAAGTGTTGTACGATTCACACCAGACTCGAAAAATCTTCTAATCGCTGACAAAACAGGCGATTGTTCCATTTTGGACTGCAGTCAATTGGACAAGCCAAGTGGTGAAGCTAAATGGATATTGGGGCATCTCTCCATTGTGTTGGATGTTTTGATGACAAACGATTTGAAGTAAGTACCTACCTCTATTCACACTTTTTCAAATACCAAATGTACTAAACTTTCCTTTCCCAGATACATCGTAAGCAGTGATCGAGATGAGAAAATTCGTGTAACAAATTACCCAAAGACCGAAGTCGTCGAATCCTATTGTCTTGGCCATTTGGAGTATGTGTCAGCCATCGAAGAAGTGAAAACTGAACAAAATGACAGTGTTTTAGTTTCAATTTCGGGTGATAAGACTCTTCGGCTATGGAAGCATATTGATGGAAAGGAATTATTTCGATTAGAATTACCAGCACGTGGATTGCGTTTGACTCAAAACTCATGCAATCAATTCGCTGTTGTGTCATTCGACGAAGGCATATCAATCAGTATTTTCGAACTAACCACTAAAGACAATCAATTGGAAGTACAAACACTTGCCGAACATGAACTAAACGACAATGTAAAATACATTAGCTCGATTGCTTATGAATCAAATAATTCCCTATGGTTTTCCGGATTGGACGAAAATAATGAATTGTTTCTCAAGCAATTGGAAATCACACGTTCAAATGATGAAATCAAAGTAAACGAAACTGGTTTGGAAAAAGTATTTAATATTCTCAAGGAGAAGTTAACATCGACAACGCTTCAACCGTGTGAAGACATTGCTCAGTTGTTAAAGGCGCGCATTGACAACACAAGCGACTATCATGAGCGTAAAAAGAGGCGCCTTGAGCTAAAATATGGAAAATCAAAATAACTCTAAATGTTATTTTATTTTATTATTTTTCATTGAAAATTACGCGTGTTTTATTGTGAGAAAGAAAAGAATTTTATAATAAATGTTTATATTTTCATATCGAAGTGAATCCATGGTGTTTTTTTTATTAAATATTTTTATACTGGCTTGTAGTCTAATTTGCTTTCCAGTTTTTTATTATCGGACACCTTGCGTACGGCTTTCATGAAATCTTCTTGTATCACGTACTCCCGTTCAGCTCTGAAATTCGAAGTAAAAACCATTAGCATATTTTGAACAAAAATCTTAAGTCTTAATCGCTGAATGTACCTGATAGCAAAAAGACCAGCTTCAGTACAAACGTTACGCAAATCGGCTCCATTGAAATTATCTGACAATTTAACGATGGCCTCGTAATCGATTTCACCATGCTTGGCTATTGGTCCGGCATGAATTTTAAGAATTTCCAAGCGGGCTTGTTCATTTGGCAATGGAATTTCGATCTTACGATCCAAACGACCTGGACGCAACAAGGCCGGATCAAGAGTGTCCGGACGATTTGTTGCCATTATCATTTTCACTTGACCCAATGAATCGAAACCGTCCATTTGATTCAGCAATTCCATGAGCGTACGTTGAATTTCACGATCGGCGGATGTTCCCTCCGAGAAACGACGACCACCAATCGCATCGATTTCATCCATGAAAATGATGCATGGCTGATGATCGCGGGCATAATTGAACATTTCACGAATCAATCGTGCACTCTCGCCAATGTACTTATCAACAATAGCACTGGACACGACTTTTAAGAAGTTTGCATCGAGCTGCGAAGCAACGGCACGAGCCAACAATGTTTTACCAGTACCTTTTTTGGTTTTGTTGAAAAAAAAAGAAAGAATTTCATTATAGATTTATTAGAAAATCATGTCTTTCGATTCAAAAAAAAAATCCCATTGAAAATTCTTCAAATTCATTTACCTGGTGGGCCATAAAGCAAGCAACCCTTTGGTGGTGTAATACCAACGCGAAGGAACAATTCTGGATTCATCAATGGCAATTCAATAACTTCACGTAATTCACGAATTTGTTCACTCAAACCACCAATAGCTGAGTAGGTGACCTCCCCTGGATCTTCGTGCGACATATTATAAACCAATGGATCAACTTCGCGTGGTAAATAACGCATAATTGTTAATGTGGTCATATCGAGTGCAACGCGAGTGCCAGATTTTAATTTTGTTTTATCCAATTGACGACGACAGCCCACCACATATCGCGGCCCATTCGTTGCTTTGACAATAACTGCAAAATCGGATTGGTTTTTTTTTTTTAATATATAATCGGATTGGTTTTTTTAACAGATTTTATCCGAATAATTTAAATGTAGTGTAATACTTACACTTATCTTCCGTCAGCTGTTTTAGTACTTCACCGACAATTTGACCGACGCTTTGAAGTGCTTTCAAGTCATTCTCTGATTTATCGAATTGCTTCGTTGATTCCTTCAATTGCTCGCGCACTGAAAATATTCAATTGAAATAAAACATTTGATGATTTACTTTCACCGATAATCACATTTGAAGGTACAGTGTTGGGATTAATTGACTGCATCTCCAATGACTTGACAAATTCAATGGTTGACATAACCTATTGCATACACAGTGAAATGAGTAGAAAAATACAGGAATTTTACTCACTTTCTTTGAGACGAGACTCGACTTCTTTGTGTTCCAGAAGTTTTTTACGATAGTCGCCCAAGGCTCGGTCTCTGCTTGGATCCACTGCCATTTTTTACCGATTGATTTTCTCTTTCAAAATTTCCAAAACAAACGAAGCAATTCACTACTGATTGCTTCAACTATGATGATGATTTGTTTTCTTGTAACAAAGCCGTTTTGTGCAATGTCACAACCATTTTGACACTTTCAGCGTAATGGAAAGATGAACGTAACGCCATCTATGAATTCGCTGGAATGGAAATTGAGTTTTGAAATTCGATGTCTATTTTTTTGCTCTTTATTTTTGTTATCACTCAATAACAAATACATTAAATACAATAATTCGAAGAAAACAGATTAGTGCTTAATGAATCGTCATTTTATGCTTAAAAAATGAATTAATTCAACGGTTATTGCGTATTGGGCACTTGTGAATTCGCCATTTGTTGACCTTTTTTAAATTGGACACTTTGCAAGTGTCAAAACGTCCAAATTCAAAACAAAACTTCAATAAACACAATTTTGTTGCGCGATTAAAAAAAAAAACATCTTGAACATTTTCGTAATGTTTTACAATGTAACCGAAATTCAGTAGTTTATTTGATCCATCACAAAAATAAGGTAATTTATACAATGCGAACAGAGAAAATGACTTTAATATTTTTTGCCGTTCTAATAAGTCGATAATTTTCCATAGGAATTATGACAGAACGAAGTATCAAACAACAAAATTTATTGGTGGCTTGCTCACGCGGTGAATATGATTTTCTAACGAAATACATTGAAAAGAATCGGAATCGGCGAAAATACGAGGTGTTTGATAATCACAGATGGGGTCCGTTGCATCATGTGGTAGCTAGTAATTCATACGATTGTGTACAACTACTATTGTCTTGTGGTTACATCGACACAAAATGGAAATCGTTTGAAGGTCAAACGTGTTTGTATGTAGCCGTGGATCGTGGTGCATCACAACCAATCATAAGAGCGCTACTTAAAGCCGATATCAATCTTTTCAATTTGTCCAACAACGAAAATGTCTATCCGATGCACAAAGCAGTTTTAAAAAATTCGCTGGAAACTGTGCAAACAATGATCGAAACTCTGAACGAAATGAAAGTTACATTCCCCGATCAATTCGATTGGGACAATGAAAATTGTCTGTTTCTTGCCGCTCGAAAAGTAAATTTGGAAATGATGGCATATTTACTAGAAACCAACATGCACGATCCAAAGCATTTCAATACAGTCGGATTGAATGCAATCACTGTTGCGGTGCTACCATGTGAAGATAATGTGGAACATGAGACATACAATCGTTTTGAAATCTTCAAAAAATTAATCCCACTAACATACGATCTAGAAGCCGAAGATTGCGTTCAACAGATGATGTTGCCAATAAGTTTCACTTGCCTATTCAAACGACATGAAATATTTCAGTGGATCGTCGAGCAGTTTTATATGAGCCACATGAACGAGCATCAAGATTTAGTGCGAAAAATGCTGGACTCATTACAGCTGGTCGATTTCGATTTTCAGATGATAACAATTGCATTGCATTCACAAATTAATCGATTCGTTGTGGTTGAAAATGATCAACTTAAGAACGACATACTCTATTCGCATATTTTCACCGATTTACACAACATTTTCAAATACGATCGAACACTTTTTAGCGACATTTTTAAAGTGATGCGACCAAAACTGAACTTAGAATCTCTAAATTGTGTGATGCTGAAATTCATGCCAAACGAACCACTCGAGGGCACACAAATGCTTGACGATTTTATGCAAATGTTTGACATCATGCAAATTGGAGATTTATTGAACATTGAAAAACTATTGTTATTCACACCAACGTCAACGTATCTCAACAATTTACTACTTTTACTGATGCCATTTTCATCGGAACGAACGGCGGACGTTTTCATCGAGGGATGCATGCGAAATAAAATATTTGTAGATGCCAATCCATATGAACAGCATGAGGGCTTACAAAGATTTTGCGTAAATGGCTATTTTCGAAATAAATGTGATTTGAAATGCCTTTGTCGAGCAATTATTCGATCGAGCATTCTGCAACAGGATCAAAACGGATTGCAGCAGACCTCTTCTGAGCGATTGTCACGAATTCGATCTCTGCAATTACCAATTCCAATTCTGAATTTTTTGTTGTTCAATTACACGCGATATGATTTTAAATAGGATTAAGCAAATGGAAAAATTCTTTACAGTATGAAATATTGTCTACAATAAATCAAAAAATGAAAAATATGTGTTGGTTTTTTTTTTCTTCAAATTCATTGATTAAAATTCAGGTGGAGCGTCATCGTTTCAAAATAGATCACATACCAAAAGGCATTATTGGACTTTAGATGACTTTTGTGGTTGTTTCCTTTGAATGTGTTTTTATCCGAATGCATTATGAATTATCCTTTTCAAATAAATCCCTTTATTCTTGAATCGTTTATATTGGACGTGTAAACCTGCCTTCATGACATTTTCCCGCTAAATAGAGGACTAGAAACGTCAAAACAAAGCAATTCACACCAATTGAAATATATTGTTTGTTGATCAAGTAGCTTTTGGCAATATAGGAATGCTTATAGTAGTATATATAGGGTTTGAACTTGTTGTGAATATTTACTAAAATAAAATCAATTTCTTTGTATATAAGTAATTTTGATTAAACGAAAATGTCAAAGCCCCAAACTAGTATCAACAACAAATATGATCGACTCATCGCACTTATTGATATGGATTGTAAGTGTTTTGAAGTGAATTTCTGTTCGAGTTCAATACAAAAAGCGATTGCACAATTCAAATATCGAAAATGATTCTTTATTAACCTTGTGCTTGTGCAACTTGATATGCATTGAAACTTTCCATGAAAACCATAAAATCTTCACCATAATCTTATGTTCTAGGCTTCTACTGTCAAGTGGAGGAGCAATTGAATCCAGAACTCAAGGGAAAACCAATTGCAGTTGTACAATACAATGCATGGCGAGGCGGTGGTATTATCGCGGTAAATTACCCGGCCAGAGCCAAAGGGGTAACTCGGCACATGCGAGGCGATGAAGCTAAAGAGCAATGTGAAGATATTGAATTGGTAAAGGTGCCGAACATTCGTGAGAAAGCGGATTTGTCAAAATATCGAAATGCTGGAAAGCAAGTGGCAACCGTTTTGCAAACTTATACACCACTGTTGACTCGTGCCAGTGTCGATGAAGCGTATTTGGATCTTACAGAACAAGTACAAAAAAGACTAGTAGATATGAATAAGGTAAAAGGAAAGCTGTCGAAATGGCCATTGAAATTGGACTGACCCGAGTGAATCTCTTTTCAGGGTAAATTTTCTTTGCAACCAAATGCACTGAAAAATACATATGTCGTTGGTTATGACAGCATTGCTGAGTATGTACAGGACATTTCGGAGCGAATAAGCACAAAAGCTGATGAAGACAATGAAGAATTGGCTCACGTTCCAGAGGAAGATCGGAAGGCGTATCGAAAAAGTGACATAAAACTATTGATAGCATCGTCGATTGTGAGTGAAATTCGAGCCGCTGTAAAAGAACAAACGGGCTACGAATGCTCAGCCGGAATTGCACACAATAAAATATTGGCAAAGCTTGTGTGTGGAATGAACAAGCCAAATAAACAGACCATTTTGCCATTAAAACACATTCCATTCTTGTTCAAGTAAGAATTCTTTTTCCTTTGTTTTTGAAAATTAGTTTTTTTGAATGGTATATTCATTTTGAATTCCATTTGTAATCAACAGAGATCTTCCAGTTCGAAAGGTGCAAGGTCTGGGTGGAAAATTTGGTGAACGAATTTGCGAAGATCTTGGCATTCAACACATGGGTGATTTGATTACTATTTTACTTTGGAATTTCAATCCATTCTTTCGATCATTTTTCTATTTTGTGCCATTACATGTTGATGAATTTCCATTTTTTTCTTCTGATCATCCCCAGGTGATTTGGTTCGATTCTCAAAAGAAGAGCTTCAACGTCGCTATGACGAACGAAATGGACAATGGCTATACAATATTTCACGTGGCATTGATCTCGAAGCGGTTACACCGCGATTAGTGTCAAAGAGTATTGGCTGCTGCAAAAAGGTATTCCATATAAATCAAATCTTGAAATATTAAAAAATTAAAGATAAAATTTTATTAAGTTTCCGGGCAGGAATGCAATTACAGCGATCACAACGTTGCAACATTGGCTGCATGAATTGGCCAAAGAGATAACCGAACGGCTCGAACAAGATGAGATAGAAAATAATCGACGTCCAAAGCAAATGGTTGTGAGTTTCATTCAAACTATAAATAATGCAGACGTTTCAAGTTCAAGAACGGTCAATTTGGTAGCTTTCGATGAAGAAAGACTCGTTGGCGATGCAATGGATGTGTTGAAGAGAAACACAGACAAATTCTTCAAATCGGCCGATAATTGTCACATTTTAAACAATCCCATCAAATTTCTCGGACTCAATGTTGGAAAATTCGAAAGTACCGAGGTGAAAAAAGGCAACACCATACAGGATATGTTTCAGCGAACAATTGAGAATAAGAAAAATCAAGCAGAAGTTAGTGATAAGCTGGAGAAGAACATAGAAACATCGAGCACAAATGCAGATGTACAAGAACATGCAAAAGAAGAAAAAGCGAAAAAGGAAGAGCCAAAGGAATCGTTCATTGCCGAATATTATCGAATGAAACAGGTCAAATTGGCTGAAGAAGCAGCAAGAAAAGCCGAAGAAGAAGGTGAAGAAGAGGAGGAGGAGGAAGAAGAAGAAGAAGATGCAACAACGTCAGATACAAAGGGTGAGCCCGAACACAGTGACGAAGAAAATACATTCAACAATGAAATGCTCATGGATGAATTGGAAGAACATAATCAAACGGTGCAACAAACAGAGCGTTCTTCCTCGCCAGTCCCATCCACATCAACTAAAGTAGATTATTTGCAGACCTACGCAGAATTCTATCGTCCACCCGATCTACCAAAGGTCGAGTGTGAACAGTGTGGTAAAAAGGTGATGGCACATGAACTTCAAATACACAACGATGAACATTTTGCTTTTGCATTGACTCAAGAGCAACGCGCTGAGTTCCAAAGCCAATTGAAACGAAATATCACATCAACGACTCCAGCGGCAAAAAAGCAAAAAACTTCGAGCAAAAACAAAATTACAACAAAAACACCAACAAAATCAACATCAATTCAAAAGTTTTTTAGTCAACCGAGTCAAGCAGACACACAAACAGCAGTACCATTGGATAATACAGCAGACGAAACCGTAGAAACTGAGAAGTGTACGGAATGTGGCAAGAACATTCCAATCGTTGAACTATTCGAACATGCCGACTATCATGCAGCCAAAAAATTACAAGATGAATTGATGAAAGCCGAAATGAATGCCAATCGAACGAACAATAATACAATTCAAAATAGTGCGACCAAAAATGTGAACAACGGCAAAGGAAAGAAATCGAAAAAGAAAGCCACCGCGAATTCAACTGCCAACAATGCACCCAAAGCAATGAAAAATATCACATCGTTTTTTCAAAATGGATAGCTGCCGAGAGCCTCATAAATTTTAAATATTATTATATTACAGCGATGTTTTGATAGTGATTCAACACATAATAAAATTAAGTTTAAAAATTACGGGTTGAGATTAACAATTATTATTATTTTGCTGAAATTTTACATGCCATTTTTATAAGAAATTTCGACTTAAAGATAAAATTAAAAAAGTGATAAAAAGAATTTTTTTTTTTTTTTTCAAATTAAACGAAATACAAAATATTTTGTGATCGATCGATTCATGCTCTAAACCTTCATAAAATAACACGAACGATATAAAATCCCAAATATTTTGCAAACATATAGTTTCATTAATGATTTCAGATTGATATCGATTGTAAATTTGATTTTCGCTCTTCTCTCGAATATTTTCATGTTTCTATTTTCAAAATGATGGAAGTCTTAATTTAATCTGGTTAAAGTTGGCCAATAATCTCTGTAATCTATCCAAAGTTCTTCAATAATCTGCAATATTTTGTCGTCGGAACGAAAGCGATCAACGCATGACTCAATAAAACCAGTCAATGTGGGCTCGTATGATTTCAATATCACCTCACCACCCATTTCACCACCCATTTCATTACCTAAAACACAAATATTTTCAATTTATTTTCCAAGTGTTATAAAGTTCGAAAATGTACCTTTTAGTTCGGTGTTGGATTGAAGAAGAATGGTTTTTGGTTTTTTGTGTGCCATTACGATTTCACGCCAATTTTCCCATGTATACGGTTCGCTATCATTAGTCACTTTCGCGTAATCATTGAACATAGCGGTTCCATGGACGACGTCAGCCGTTGACTTGTATATTTGTAGTTTCAAAAGAAAATCATGAATAGCCCGGCGACCAGTTGATTTGATTTTTGTGCGATCAACCGTGATCCGCAAGTTCCTTCCATCTTCTGTTTCTTTGATGCGAACGAAATCATTGCCGGCCTCCATAAGTACTTGCAACAGAACATAACGTGCTTGACTATGGGCTTGTAACCATTTCTGATTCGTCGGATCATAGAATTCTAAAGCCGTCAAACCCATCCACACCATACGCAACCAAATTACATAAGTAACGTTGTCAACCTCATCATCCTCAGTTATGTCAAAAATGCTCAAGACGTTCCGATATAAACTGAGGTGCAAAGCAACTGCTTCAGATCGACACTCCTCCTACAAATTTTTTGATTTTCAACATTCAACTCAATGCTTAACTATCTTTAAAACATTTCTATTTTCAAATGAAACACTCACGTAAGGAGAGCTAATCGAACCAAATTTCATAACAAATGTTTCACCCTTCTCGTACCATGTTTTTATCAGTTCGTGGTTTAATGGATTTTGAGTGAGGAACACGTCGAAGTTGAGCTTTCCATCTTCATCGGCGATTAACAATTTTCCACTTCCATGGCCCAGCACCTCATGTAAACAAACGTGAACCTATTTCAATTATTTATTGGAAGCAAATTTAAATTATTTTTTAAGACCTCTCTCAATTCAAATATCCAAATCAGACAATATATTTAGCTGCCGTCATCTGGATATTTCAGCTCATCTGGATGCCGTCAGCAGATGATACAAAGTGAAAACAATAGAAGTGATTGTTATAGAAATACCAGTATATAACAAGCTTATATACCTATAACAATCACTTCTATTGTTTTCACTTTGTATCATCTGCATCCAGATGAGCTAAAATATCCAGATGACGGCAGCTAAATATATTGTCTGGTCCAAATGAATCGTGTGTTACCTCTTGTGCAATAAGTTGATAAGCTTTCATCAAATCTTGATCTTCATCGGACAAAAATTGAATTTCATCTTCAGGTCTATATATATTGGCAGTGAGGACATTATCCAGCGACAGATTTTTGAATCCGTAATTTTGACGAATATCTTCATAAGGCGGGATACTGAGCCCCGATGGAACGACGGAGCCATCGAATGTCAATACATCAACTACTGCAAAATCTGGATTAATAAATGTGTCCTTTTCAAACTGTGCGGGCCATGGCAATGTTTGAAGGAAATGCTTAGCATTATTAGCCAATTTGGATAGTTTTTCCGATTTATCGGAGTTCGACATCGCCACCAGACCATTATATTCAGCTGCAAAAGAAAGGTAAATTTTTAAAACGGGTAACACAATCTTTTTTTTCTCATTTTTGCTAGATTTTACCACGAATGCCTGCTGGATCACGATATGGTGCAATATATCCCAAATATGTTTCGACAGGCTTTTCTGAATCTTCCAACCAAAATCTAAACGCACATCAAGAAGTATTTTTTTATATTGATCGGTTTTATTTAATTTAAAAGATTCAAATATTACGTGGTAGCTTCTTTGTGACTCCCAATTTTACCGTGGCGAAAATGATCTATGTAATGTCCAACCACTCTTAATTGAACATTTTGGGCATAGTCTTTTGCTTTAGCCAAATTCTTGTTGACCAGTTCTAATAACGGACTATAATCACCGCGTGAAACGATGAATGTGTTGCCCTTATATACTTCCGCCATATTTTCTGCTTTTTTGAACGCTCCCAATTTAATGTGATATGTAACTTTGCCTTTATCTTCGATTTTAAATGCGCGGGTATTGTAAGGGATTATATTCTTCGCTTGTAGAAAATCTGTGATACGATCCGAATCCAATTTTGTACAATTCTCGGAAAAATATGTGGTGATCCCTTCGTTAGCAAGACCAATAGACTTGGTGCGTTCGGTCAAGTAGAAAATTGGTTTTTTACACCTATCCCACAAATCTGAGACCATGTGATCTTTTTTGAACGCTTGACTCGTTTTGATAATCAACTTGAATTGACTCACATCGAGATTTGGAACGAATTTGGTATCACCCATACCTACAGTAAGATTTTCGTAAAATTGATTTAATAAAGTAACAGGACTTTCAGTCAGCGGTGCTGCCATCCGCAGCATAAAAATATAACTTGCTTAGAGTGTGTCGTCTGTTGCATGCGAATATTCATAACGGTTTAAACATCACAGCGAACAATAGTACACTTCACGACACGATTATAAGACTCAATACACACGAACGAAAAAGAGTACAGTTTTTTTTTTTCATTTGTATGTATTGATCCAACCGAACGCGAAGAAATCAACACGAGTCGTTCTCTGTGCCGTGCAAACTCATCGCAACCATGTATATAACTGTATTGATGCAACGGGCGACGCATTCTCGGCAAGATATTTTTTTATGGCGATGCTGGCAGCAGCGCTGAGTGAAAAAAAAAGTAAATTTATCAGAAATTTACTTTAGATCAGACTGACCTTTGTAGTTGCCGTTATTTGCAAAGAAACCGACTACATAAACCAAAAATGCCTGCAATTTAATTTCCATCAATTTTGAGTTCCGAATAGAAATATTTGCAAAGACAAAATTACCTCAAAGTCATCATTACTAACGCCAGCTTTAAATGCAGCAGCCCTTAGGTCTTCAACGGCTTGTACTCTAAAGATGCGATGAAACAATGAATGAATCAACGGTGCTTCCGGGCTGCATTGAAACAATGCCACCATACCCATATATCGAGATGCCTGCAAAAATTCAAAAAAAGAAAAAAAAACCAAATAGTTTTCTCCAATTTTATCAGTGATGAATATATAGCGGTTACCTGGCTATAGTAATGAGCGTACAACTTTTGCCCTTTTGGCAATTTTGCGAAAGCCGCAGCAATGTTCAATTCTTCGATTCGTTGTTCATTTGACAACACAAAGTCGCTTTTATCCACTGGATTTCCGTGTTGCATTTTGGAAAAAGTTTTGAAATGATAAAAAATTATATGATAGATCTTTTCTCTGTAGCGAAGTGAACATGCGGCGTGAATAGCTATCGCTGTGAACTAAACTAGTACTCTTGACAGTTCGACCACAGCATGACACTTCAATTTTGGTTATAAAAAGAAAAATGCGTTTGGTGCCGTAACCGAACAATTTGAACGTTGATAACATTGGACACATTTGATAAAGATTTTTATATCGAATAAGAACGTTGGAATATTCTTCGTAATACATTCTTCGAAAATATATATTTTTACTTTGAATGCATTTTTTTTGTTGAATAAAATATATTTATTGTTTGTTTTTCAAACATTTTTCTTTGGCAAACATCTCAAAATGATATTTTTTTGAGGAAATTATTTAAAAATCATTTTCAAATGAAATCACTGATTTAAAGAACCAAGTCGTGAGTACAATTCAAAAATTTCCCTTTTCATTCTATGTCAATCGCTCGTGTGAACGATGCTCATACGTCAGCTGACATGACTAGTAAATGTGGGATAATAAAGATTGTTTATCTTATGTAAAATGTCAAAAAAATTTGAACATTTAATTTAAAGCGAAACTGGGATAAAAATGCAAGTCTCTAGCTGACTTTTGCATTTTATACACATACATTTTCATTTAATTTATTTATTGAACATTGTATAGTAATCATAATGTCATTTCATTTTTAATCATCAAAAAATTGTGTATTATTTCAATTATTTGGCATGATGTGGACACCTCAAAAGATGATCAACAATAAATATGATCGAATTATTGCCTTGATTGATATGGATTGTACGTGATTTTCACAACCTTTTATTTTCATATTTGTTTTAAATTAAAATTGAACGCAAACTTTCATTTAAATCAGGTTTCTATTGTCAAGTGGAGGAACAATTGAATCCAGAACTCAAAGGAAAACCAATCATTGTGCAACCATTACAATACGATGATTACGGAGGTGGAGGGTAAAATTAAAACTACCGCTAACTATTTTCGATACGGTTTTATTCGGCATTACATTTAATTAATTATTTCCAGAATCATTGCATTGAATTATGTGGCCAAGGCACGAGGTGTTAAACGTAGCATGCGTGGTGATGAAGCGAAAACACAATGTCCGGATCTTGAGTTGGTTCGAGTGCCAGTCATTCGTGGTAAAGCCGATTTATCCAAGTACCGTAAAGCTGGCAAACAAGTGGCAACCGTTTTGCAAACATTTACCCCGTTGATGGCACGAGCCAGTGTCGATGAAGCATATTTGGATTTAACAGAACGAGTGCAAACTCGATTGGCTGATATGACTAAAGTGAGTGTTATACTGAAAAATACAATGATGACATTTACTCAATTTGATTGAAATTACAGGGCAAATATGCATTGAGCAAGAGTGATCTGAAATGCACTTTCGCTGTTGGTTACGAATGTATTGATGCATATGTTCAATTTGTAACAAATAAAGTAACTAAGGCCACGGATGATGCCGAAGATGATTCGGAACATTTGCCTGAGGAAGATCAGGAATCATTTCGAAAGAGTGACATCAAGCTATTGATTGCTGCGTCAATTGTTAATGAAATTCGAGCCGAAGTAAAAGAGCAAACGGGTTTCGAATGTTCGGCTGGTATTGCACATAATAAAACACTCGCTAAACTTGTCTGCGGCCTGAATAAACCAAATAAACAGACATTATTACCCCTGAAGCAAATAACGGATTTTTATCGGTGAATAAAACATTTTTCTTGAAATGATACATCCATTATAATAACCGTAAATATATGTTTTCAGGACACTGCCAATCAAAAAGGTGCAAGGTCTAGGTGGAAAATTTGGCGAAAAAATTTGTGAAGACCTGAATATTCAATACATGGCCGAATTGCTAAAATTTACTAGGGAAGAAATACAAAAACACTGTGATGAACGTAACAGCAAATGGTTGTACAATTTGGCGCGTGGCATTGATATGGAAGCCGTTACACCGCGCTTGGTGTCCAAAAGTATTAGCTGTAGTAAAATGTTTCCGCGACAAAATGCCATTGCTGACGTGCAAACGTTAAACCATTGGCTGCATGAGATTGCCAAAGATGTCGTCGATCGTGTTGATGAAGATGAATTCGAAAACAATCGCCGACCAAAGCAAATCGTCATTAGTTTTACACAGAGCATTAACAATTCTGATGTGTCCAGTTCTCGTACCGTTAATTTTGTAGCAAATAACGAAAATAAAATTGTAAATGATGCCTTTGAAGTGATCAAGAGAAATACGACCAAGTTTTTGAAGCCGGATGATCCAAATGCTCTGTTTAATCCCATCAAATATTTGGGTTTTAACGTTAGTAAATTCGAAAGTTTGGATTCCAAAGGTGGCATTGAAGAGTTGTTTCGTCGAAGTTTTCAGAAGAAAGAGAATCAAAGTATTACCGAAACAAGCAATGTTTCAATTGAAGATGATTCAGTTGCAAATAACATTTGCATTCTCAATGAGAATGGCAATGAAGAGCCACAAAACTCATTTCTGTCAAAATATAATGTGGAATTCAAAGATGATGATACGGATACGGAAAATTCAGAGAGTGACTCAGAAAGTGGTGCATTGGCCGAAGCGACGCATCAAATGAACCAAAATTTGCTGCGGAATGTACTTGAATCACCGCGTCTATCAACATCATCAACCAATCCTGAATACATCGATTACTACGTACCTTCAGAACAACCGAAAGTTGCGTGCAGCAAATGTGGAAAAATGGTGGTGGAAACAGAGATGCAAGTGCACAGCGACGCACATTTGGCGTTCGAATTGAATGAAAAACAACGAACTGAGTTTCAGAACCAATTGAAACGAACTCATGCTCCAAAAACGCCCATAAAGAAGAAACAAAAATCCGAAACCAAAATTTTGTCAAATAAAAAGAAGGAAAAAACATCAATTGAAAAGTTTTTGGTCAGAAAACGAGAAACTTCACCAGAACCATCAACAAGCACCGCCATCGATGTTGAAGTCGAAAAATGCTGTGAATGCGGCAAAACAATTCCTATCACTGATCTATTTGAACACCTCGATTTTCATACCGCCAAAAAATTACAAGATGAACTTATGAAATCAGAGACAACGACCAATCGAATGAACAATAATAGCATGAAAAAATCAAAAAATAACTATAACAATAGTTTAAGTTCCAGTAAGAATAAGAATAACACCAAAAATAAAAATACTAAGAATACAGCGGTTAGAAATATTACGACATTTTTTCAAAGCACTGAATAAGCTGTTATCGGAAGTCATAAATTTTATAATATTCATATCATTGTTTTTACTAAATAAAAGACTGAATTGGAATTTGTCGCAGTATTTGAAATAATTATTAGTTTTTTTAATTCATTTCTCCTTATGGTTATATAATGGCTTATTCTTCATTTCTCTCATACAACATAAATATTGTATTTTGATTTTTTAATGAAAAAAAAAAATCAATTGTAACCAAAATTAAGGCTAAATAGAATTCTTTTCAATTTATTTATATCTGTGACAATTTTATGTCGTATATAATTTTTTTGATTGAAACTAATCTTGTCAGAATGTTTGTATGTCATTTCCCATATAAAATGTATATATAATTCCAATTTATTCGATTCATCATGATCCTGAGATATATCCAGATCCCGGTATTTAAACTTTTGCGATATCTTTTGATTTGACAAAAAAAATCACAAAAACCAAAAAAAATGTACCAGTCACTTCCCCTTTCAATTTTCATAATGTGTAATAATAAACCAATTGATCGTTATTTATAGAAGCGTTCAACCCGGAACGACTTAACGATGAAAAAAAAAGAGAATATCAAAGGGGGCATATATTCCACAATTATAAATTTAGCGTGAAGCAGTAGTGTGCTTGCTGTGATTTGGATGAGAACTTTTTTCGCGAAATTTATTCGAATTTGCTAGGGTTTTTGATTCAAAAAGTGAAGACCCTTTTTTTAGCTCATCAAGTTAGAAAATTGAGGATAATTCTTTCAATTTGCTAGGGTTTTTGATTCCGAGAGATTTTTTTCCGATTTGCTAGGGTTTTTCGCGGAGAAAATTCTATCGATTTGCTAGGGATTTTCGCCTCAAAAAGTGACTTCCAAAAAAAAACGAAAATTTGTCTGATTTGCTGGAGAATTTTTTAGTTTTTTTTGTAAATATTTTGTGTTTCTTATCGGAACTTCTTATATTAAAATGCCATTTTGGGTCGATTTATATGGAAAATCAATCATTTCTCATAAATAGAAAAATATCGATATTTCAATACGCTGAATAGCTTTTATAGTTTTTATATTTAGTCGATGGTGGATCGAACATGTGGCCTAGTTCAGAGGAGAAAACTACCTCAAATCACTTTTATTTGGTTTTATCGTGATCATTCTTTAATAAAGAATCTTTATCTATCAAGCTTATATATTCATGAAAAACGATACAAAACTAATCAATAGAGAATATGTTTAAACTTATAAGAAAATAAAGCGTAAAAAAGGCGTAAAAGTTATGAATAATTCACGAATTCAGTTTTGTCATCGTCACAAAGTGAATTCGTGAGATATTTTCTTATATATTATTTACAGACAAATAGGTAATTTTGTTGATTACATAAAAGAAGCGGAGTTTTACAACGAACTTTGTTTTGAATATGAACTTCGCATTGAATTTTCAAATTTCTTCAAAAGCGACACATTCTAGTGAGAAAATATTCATAGAAAAAACAAATTCACAAAACCCCTATCCCCTTCGGACACTATTGACCGCTATTGACGCACAGATAGATAATTTTATATATTCTTGTCATAAAAAAGAACTACATAGAAACGAGCGTATTCTTGAACACGATTCGTTCTTTTAGTGATAGATATTATAGTACATTTGCAGAACTGTTTAAATTCATTGCTTGTGAAACATTTTATTCAGTTAAACGAAAGCAAAACCAGGCAATAATTTCTACAAACTTCTGTTTGATAATTTAGAACAGACGAGGAACGCCCCCGAGGTTTTGCCAAAATAGAGAGTGAAAAATGAAAGTGTTTCAAGTCTCTTTAATGTTGTGTTTTCTATACCAAAATGGGATTAGTTACAAAATTTTGGGAATATTACCAGTGCCATCCAAATCACACTATTACATAGGACATAGTCTTCTAAAAGGATTGGCGTTAGAAGGTCACGATGTAACTGTGATGAGTCCATTTAAAGAGGAGAAACCAATAAAAAACTATAAAGAAGTTCTTATCGAAAACGTGGTCGAGAATTGGCGCAAAGGTAAAAGCGGTAAAAAATCATAAACAATAATAGCTTACACATTTTCGATTTCATTAGTAATGGCCAAGCACAATTTTTTGGATTGGGGCAATACGTATTTTTGGAATACAGCGTTAAAATACTACGAAATGGGTGTGATTTTAACCAACTGGACGGTGTCAAGTAAAAATGTAAAAGAATTCATAAAAATAAAACAACATTTCGATGTTGTCGTTGCAGAAGTTGGAAGTGTTGAAGCTATAATTGCATTTGGTAATTATAACAATGCTCCGGTGGTTGCCTTATCCACGTTCGGTGCATCGAAAGCAACAACCGATTTGGTTGGAACACCAAATTTCGCTTCCTATGTGCCGTGTGTATCCAAACCATACACCGACCGAATGACATTTTGGCAACGAATGCAAAATTCATTGTGTTACTGGTTTTCGGACTTGGTATATCCACTCTATGTGATGCCAAAGCAACAAAAACTCATGGAAAAACTGTTTCCCGTAGCCAAAAATTGGCCATCTCTCGAAGAAATGAGACGAAACGTATCATTGGTTCTACTGAATACCCATACTACGTTAGGCACACCCCGCCCTTATACCCCAAATATGATTGAAGTCGGAGGCATGCAAATACCAAAAAACATCGAACCGCTACCGCCAAAAATTCAAAAGTTCTTAGACGAAGCAGTCGATGGAGCCATTTTTGTTTCTCTTGGTTCCAATGTGCTTATAACTAAACTGCCCGAACATCAATATAATGCCATCGTAAATGCATTCAAACCATATTCTAATGTTCGAATTTTGATCAAAAGTGATGAGAATGTTATCATTCCATCGCATAAGCAATCCGATGTCCTGGTCGAACCATGGTTCAATCAACAATCCATTTTGGCACATCGAAACTGCAAGCTATTTTTGACTCACGGTGGCCTATTGAGTACAACTGGTAAAACATTAATTCGATTTTATATGAATCGCTTTCTTAAATTTTCATTTTTATAGAGGCCGTTCATTTTGGCAAGCCGGTTGTTGGAATTCCGTTTTTCTTTGATCAACCTTTGAACATGAAATTGGCCGAACAGAAAGGCTTTGGAATCAGTGTTCCAATTGAAACTTTAAATGCAGAAAACATTGCAACAGCTGTTAATAAAGTGCTTAGCGTGCCAAGGTAAAATCACAAAGAGTAAATAATAAGATCTGTTTAGGATCTAATTGAATTTTGACGTTGATTTTCAGTTATGCAGAGAATGCAAAGTTAATATCTGACAGATTCCGCGATCAGCCACGATCTCCGTTAGAAACAGCAATACATTGGGTCAAACATGTGGCTAAAAATAAAGGTGCTCCACATTTGAGAAGTGTTGCGGTCGATTTGCCATTTTATAAATTATACAATTTGGATGTATGGGCATTCATCTTTGGTGTCATTGCTTTCAGTGTATTTTTAATTCGAAAAATTCTAAATTTCGCCTTTTCGTTCATCTTTGACTCAAAGACAAAACAAAAGTCCAAACGAGAATAAGCAAAAAAAAATCCAAAAGAGCACAAATAGAAGAAAATTTGAAGCATATCAACAAAACATTATCGAAATGATAAACAAAAAGTTTGCGAAATAAAAAGTAACAAAGAGTGACAATAATTTATCAAAATAGAGGGTTGTGTTTTTTTATTTTCTTTATTAATTAACTGCCAGATATTTGTCTACGGTAAATATGATCATAAGGTTAGTTTTGTTTTAAAAGAAAGCTATCGACTAAGGTGATATCGAATATCTTAAACAAAAAGTTACTCAAGATTATTGATTTGTTGTGTGTTTTATATATTCAGTTTGGCAATTATTGGAAATTAAATGTAGGTCTCGCCTATCAATTCGATTGAGCTGCTTAAAAATAGACAAACAAAATTCAAACATAATGTTGCTTTTTGGTAGAGTACATATATGCAATTGAGCAAATTTGTTTTCTTTTTTAACTCCAACTATATTAGTAACATCCAAAGTGTTATTTCCTTTTATCGACGATAATTCCAAAAGCATTTGTAGCTGTTTAGAATTGATTAAAGACATTGAAGACATTTAAAAAAAAAAGAGAAAAGGCTTGCATCTTATCGGTATGTTTAAGTTATAAAACTCGATGTGGGTTTGTGTAGTGGTCAAACTTTATTGCTATTGAACTTGATATTTTGTTTGAACATTTGAAGATTGTAAAATTCATCGAAACTACAAAGCAATCGAAAAATATCTCTTCTTGGGTTCATGGAAAAATATGTATTCTTTATTTATTATATTATCGGATATTATTTGAACCTTTTAAATTGGATCGAAATTCCAACGATTTTATTGCACTCAAATCCAATCCCGTCCCTTCATCAATGATTTTTCTATATGTCTAAAGTTAGTTATGTAATTCAGTCGTATCAAGTATCAGTATCGAATCAAGGCTACTTTTTTCCTTCATTTTTTTCTCTAGTTAATTAATTATAACAAATAATCGCCTCGCTTCATCTATCTTAATTTCTTTAAAAATGGTATTTTATTATCTTTAGTCAAATGTCTACGAATATGATTGCTCCAATAAAAAAAAATGTGTCTAAGCATCAGATTGAGGTTTTTGAGAATGTAATAATCAATAAGCTTTTCTTTTCATCTCCGTCTGTCTTTTGCATCTTATGGAACTCTCATTCAATTCACATTAAACCAACAAACGCACAAAATTGCAACATGATTTCTATAAAAAATATTTGACTTTTTTTATCTTAATGCGCTATGCCTTTTCTCTATGTTTTTGTTCAATTTTCGTGGGGGTTTCTATCACGCAATGGTTTTTTTTTTTAAATACAATTTTATATTGGCTTTTCGGTTGAGCATGTGAGTTCTACACATATGCAAAAAAAAAACACTTTAATTTTTCAAAAACTCATTCAAGGTTATAACGCACACTTTTCGGAGGTAAATTAGTAAAAATGGAAGAATTTACTTTTATTTTTATTTTAAATTACAAATAAAAAACGGATCGTATTTACTTGTTCTTGCACAAAGATAACGGTGGATGAGGAAAACATAATCATTTTTTCCTTCATCTACATATACGATGAAAAAAAAATAACAAATAAAAAACAAAGCCTAACGAAACAAATAGATTCGTTGAACGTTATAATTCAATAATTTTTTTCACAAACTATCTCAACAATTCGTCATTAGATAAATTAAACAAAAGCATTTCCAGATATCTTTATATCTTTACAGCAACAAAAAACTGAATTCAAATTTTTGAAAAAAATGCTGTTTATTTTTAGTGGACTTTGATAAAGTTTTGATGCCAAAAATAGCAGCATCACATTTTAAAATCCAAAACGTACAGGAAACAAACTTCCGTCAGTTAAAATACAAATCGCATTAAAATTTTCAGTCAGCGATAAACTTAAAATGTATTTCTGTCTGAATCAGCTGTGAATTTCAAAATGTGAACCCTCGAACTTGTTATCAATTCCCAAAACAATTCACGTCATTTGATGTGGTTTGCAACGGATAAATCAATATCTGTGAATTTCATTTTTGTTCTCGTTCTATTTCAAATCACGTTATGGGTTGTGCGATGCTTTCAGTTATTCTGTGCTTACTTCTTTCTTGCTTGCAAGAAACAGTATAAAATGCCGGCCTGTGCCATAACATCCACGGTGCTCGTTTCAAGTTGATCTTTTTGTTTGGTCGCATTTAAAGCTGGCCGCAATAATGTCGGCCCAAACACCATTGCCAAATTATGCAGTGACATTTTATTCTCATTTTCTTGTTGATGAACTCTGTTTTGGAAGGAACAATAATCGATTAGCAATCGTTGGAAAGACAAAGCGTGTAAATACTTAAAAAAATGCGCTTTTACTCACTTCAACAAATGATCCAAAATGAAATTAATGGTTGATTTACTTTGCGGTGGAATATCGGCAAATATTTTCTGTAATTCATGGCTTAGTTCATTCTCATTGATGTTGCTAAATTTATTGAATGTTTCGATGAGACGCCGATATAGAACATCGGTGAATAGAGTCTCTGGTAATTCACGTAGATATGCTTTAAATATACCGGTCACCGAATGTATGTCCACGTCTTTCAATTGTTGTTCGGCTTCATAATTGTCTGTTTGACAAAAAAAATTAGTTAATATTCTTGAATTGATTTTTCGATTTTATTGGAAAATAAGAACTTACTCGTTTCGAATGCTTTCTTGAGTCTTGCCAAATCACTGGCTGAACCGCTGACACGATAAATACCCACTTCTAGCATTCCACGCCGTTCCACCTCTCGAATGCATGAAGTTATTATGAATGGAATGTCTCGTTTTTCACGTCTATTTAACAAAATTTTAGAATAAAAAGTTAAGAAACATATTAGATTCCCGATTTGTCAAGAAATTCGATTAAACTCAAAAGATCGGAATCGAAACATAAACTAACTTTAATAATTGCTGAAATTTGACGCCAAATATTGGTCCTGCTTTTGTATTTGGCACACGACACGATTGAAGCTCTTCATTTGCAAATCGGATGATGATATTCAATGTAATCGCATCGGTTAGTTTTAATGATTTGGCATTTGGCGCATCTTCGAGCCATTTTCGACTTAACTAAAGTGATAACGAGATAAAACAAAAACAAATCCAAAATCAAATATTCAACAATAGACGAAATAAGTATTATAATACCTTTAATACATGTTCGGCCTTGAGCATTGGTCTGGTGTTGCCAGTGTCTTCATATAATAAAAATCGCATATTTTGACATCCTTCAAGTTCAACCAAGAAGTTCTCATTCCATTGTGGATTAACGCAATTTCTTGGTGTTTTTGTGGTGGCCTTATGAAAATAATGTCCATACGAATCAGCTTCAACGCAACAAAACAAATCCGATGGCTTATCGAAACCAGACACCCCGAGAATAGTTAGATGCAAATCGCCAATTAGTAAACTTTCATCTCGGCTATTTCGCATCAAATATGATCCCATTTCGGTTTTGACGAATGTCTGACAGGCGGCAATCCATGCTTGTAAATCTAATAAATTAACTTGTTGTGCAATTAATAAATTGCATGATTCTTGTAAACCGATTATCGAGTCAATCCATTGATTTCGTTCGAATTGTGAGCTCAAGAAAAATGTGGAAATTTTATTGTTTGTCTTATTGCCCAATCGAAAAACTAAATTCGGTGATGCCAACACCAGCTGCGCTTCAATATCATGTAATTTCTTTCGACATTTATCAATCGAACGTGAACTATAAAGTTTATGCTTTTTATCATCACGTTCTTCGGCTAAAATTAAATCGCGTACGGCCGATGCTTGCGTTTTCAACGATAATAAATTCGATGGATTGTTCTCCTTGGCATCAATGCCCAGCGGATTTGTTATGGTCGATGCGCTTGGGCTACGCAATACAAAATCATCACTTGGAATGAAAATATCTTTGACACTTATGAACCATTTCAATTCAAATTCAAAACGATCACGACCGCTTGCTTTATACTTTGCACACGCAATCACATCGTTGAACAGGAATAAATGACGCAACTTTCGATGACCATCTACCAATTCAACGATAAATGAATTCCTTACTAAGCGTCTCAATGCTTTGTCTTCACTCTGAAATTTCGGAAAAAGACATATGTGGTAAACGCAAAATCGGAATGAAATCAATAATAAAGTATCACTTACGGATAGTAGTTCGGTTTGAACGACATTGAATTCCGACAATAATTTGTGAGTGGTTTTTTGTGATTGAATCAATGGTTTGTAATCGGCATGTGTTGATGGTGTTTCGTCAATTAAATCTTGCAGAACCAATGCATTTTTCTGTAGTCGTGCAACCGGCTTATGCAGTAGATCTTCCAGCGTGAGCAATTGTTCATTTTTTGAATTTAACACGATTTTCGATACAATCTCTTTGAACTGATTGTTATTTTCGCCACATTTCTTAACCGTATCAATGGCTTGACCATAATTATGCAAAAATGCACCGTAAATATGAATGTGTTTGGCAAGCTCTTCAAATGCATCACCAATGTGAATATCGCGACTCTCCATTGCAATTTTATTTTTCAGTGATGTTAAAAACTCTGTATGCACTACATGCAATTCTTCCACTTTGAAAAACATTGTTTGCAACTCATTTCTACTTATGACCGGACGTGATGTGGTTAACGTCGCTGCCATTGCCTTCATATACTGAAAATTTGAGAAGAATTATTGAATTGAATATTTTTTCCCGTTCGAGATGAGTCCCATCACTCATGAGGATGACTTTACAATACTTACATGTAACATTTTGGTTAAACATTCCACATAAAATGTTTCACTCGTAATAATGCTGCTGATTATGTTTCGAATTTGAACATTTCGATGGTTATCAGCGTGCTGTGAATGCAAATAAAACATATTTTTAAATTGAATTCGACCAAGTTGCTGTTGAAAATACTTACCGCAACGGCTTTAATTTGTGAGGGCAATACATTTTTGGTATCATCAATGGTGGAACGTGGCGGTGGTGATGAGGTGCCTGCATCAAGGTCATCATCACTTTCATTCGAGCTATCCCGTAGCTTTCGATTTTGCCTACTAAAAATAGATAAAAATGTTCAAAATGAACATACATCGCGCATAAGCAAACAAAAAAGCAGCAAATCAAATATACTTACGACAAAAAGTAGTCAATATTTATGTAATTTGATACACGTTCACCAACTTGACCACTTTCAACACTCATTTGGCTCTCTAATACTTTTGGTAATGAACTGGTTCTCAAATCACTGTCATCCACTTCGACCTCATCGTCAGTCTCTTCGATCGGAACCGTATCGTAATACGGTTCGGTGTCAATTTGTCCGCCGCCACTATTATTGTGATCGATTGCATTGTACGAACTGTTTGCACTGGTATTGTTCGCATTCGATGCAACGGCTTTTAGTCCATCCGAACTCAACGATGATATTGATTCGTAGCTTTTTATCTGAAAAATCATGGATTAAACGTATTAAATTCTCCGGCAAATATTTGTTATGCGACAGTTTTTACGTACCCGTTCTGATATTGGAAATGATTCAACGTGTAATGTTTCTTCGTTATTTGTACTATTGATAAGACTTTCAGAGCTGCTATTTTGTCCGGATTTTGTGATGTTACCGTGCTGTGTATACTTGAGCAAAACGGATGACAATTTTTCATCGTTATGTTTGTGTCGAAGAAATTCCGATGGTTTAACATTTGAATCGGATGTGGTTTGACTGTTGTTATTGCTTGGCGAATGGCCAAATGTTGTCATCGAAGGTGATGGTGGTGTTTCGATGATGGTAGCAGTTGTTGGTGCTTCTGGCACTGGGCCACGACGTGCAACTTTTGGCGGTGGTCTGAAATCAAAACCGGATCTCATTAAATTTTGCTGAAACCAGATTGAACAACGTTTTATGTAATTGGGTCTTCCTTACCTTGGTGGAACTCTTCGCCTAATTTCTACCGTTTGCACGGGTGATGCATTATTCTCTTCGGGTTTTTCGGCAGCCACTGACTCCTCTTTGGATTCCTGTTGTTGTTGTGGTTGTTGTGGTGGCAACGTTGGTGCTGGTGTTGTTGGTTCTGGTTTGAATTCAGCACTATCGGTCGCCGCAATCGAAATCGATGTGGATGTTTGTGATGTAGCAATGGATGATGGCGATGGATCCTTCACTTCAATCACTGTCACAAAACTGGTCGGTGTTTCCGAACGTGTGGGTGACACAATTTTCGATTCATCTCCAATGCCCTTCAATTGATTATTTCGCAAATGTGATGTCAATTCATCGATGCATTGATGATGATGTAGTGTGCCTTGTTCACGGCTTTGATTCAATTTTTCCACTTTACTCCGTATAGCTGCCATTGAGTTTAAAAATTCATTCGAGTCTGTGTCAGTGGTCAGTTTGTCACCAGTAGCACTGCCGTTCTATATAAAATTTCGACGCGAAAAGAACAAAACAACGAAAATATTAATAATTCTGTTCCTCAATTTAAATTAATATCAGAAAAAATCATTCGGTCATAAATTCTCGTTCTGCGTGAGTGTACCTACGTACGTACGTATTTGAAAGTGCCTCAGTTAGAATTATAAATATGGGATAGCGCGAATAGAAAAACATATACATAAGGGAAACACAAATAAATAGATAAAGTGAAGTGCAAATATGAGTCACAGCATGTATGAGTCTCATGTGATAATTTTTAGGTGTAAATAAATTTGATTGTATTGTTGTGTTGTTGTGTTGTTGTGTTAACATATAACAGGAAACTTAACGAAATAAATAACCAACGGGAATAAAAACAATGCAAATATAAAGCACGATGTGTAGGGTAAAGTCGTGGCTATTTGATTTTGGTACAACGATTTCTACGAAAATATTTTCGATGATAATATACAAAAAAATAAACATCGTATCGGCGAGACAGAGATACACACAGACACACACACATACTTGCAATCATTTAAAAATGTGAATGCATATATATGCAAAGCAACAGAGATATTTTTGTTCTTTCAATATTGATAAGTGACGATTTGATGTACGATATGCATGTGTATATATTTATTGACAAAGCAAGTTTGAAAAAGCGCGTGGGGCTTAGTTGCAATAAATAAAAATGCCCACCAAACGAAATCTATGACAAATTAGTACCAATTAAATGCTGAATAATTCATAACCCGAATGGCCTGAGCGAAATTCACAGAAACAGAGCAAAAAGTTCATAATATTCAGTCATTCACAACAGTTAAGGTATGTAGTACATGAATTTGTGTGGCGTGTGGTGTGTGTATACCGTTCCATTTTAAAGCGCTGTGATATATGGAGAGTAACAGAATATGAGATACGGTTTGTGGGCAACAACGCAGCGAGAACGATATATATAACTTAATGCTTCATAATGAATATTTCATGCATGCTACACATACCCCGTTAATCGATGCTGATGTGTGTTCATCAGTTGTTGCACTGCCTATGTCATCACATTTTTCCGTTTGTTTATCGATTGATTGTTCGGCGCTGGCGACCGATGTTGCGTCTTGTTCATTGCCGTCATTGTCTGACACATGAAATGGAACCGATAGATCACCACCTGCTTTGCGAAAGTCCTCAACATCGCTGAGCAAACGTTCCAAATACTCAACATAGAGCATCTCTTGTTCGAGCTCCTTGCTCAAATCATCCACTTTTTGTTTGTGTCGTTCTAAACTAACGCGGACATCTGCTTCCCATTCGCTGGACAATGAATTTTCCGGAAATCGTTTCATCCACATTCGACGAAAATCCGCAAAAACACTCATTTTTTCGATTGATTTAGTTGATTTTGGCACACACGAATTTTGGCTAGGAGCTATTTTACTCTTGTAACACGGTCAATCACCGTAATTTTTGTTTCTAATTACAATATTTTCGTGCTTTTCTCTTTGAAGCGTTCTTTGTAATTAAAAATCGTAATTCAACATTGATTATTCGAGCGCATGCACCAGTGCAAAGGCGCAATCATCAGAGTACATTGAACGAATGAAAAAAATGCAAAATCGTAACAATATTATTATTACTAGCTTTTACACTCTTGCGATACACACGATATAACATAACAAAAACAACAATTTTTTTTATTGTTGTATGCCCGAAAACATTTCCGCAAACATACCATATGCAGTACTTGTTTTTTTTCTTCTTTTTTTTCACTTCCAAGTTGTATTGCTGTTGATATCGTTGCGTTTTCGCAGCAGCAACAACAGCATACACAAGACACGCAATTTTACACACGTACACACTCACACCTGCCACTATATGCTTGTCGATTTTTAGTAAATTGTACACAAACTAAAACGATTTTCTCACTTTTCACGTCTCGCGTACTTTTATTATATCACCAGCGAAGAAACATTTGTTTGTCCAAAATTTTGTTACATTTTTACGATGTTTTCTTTTTTATTGATTGAACTGAGATGTGATGAACATAACAAAATGCAAACAAATTTGATCTGTATAACCAAACTGCAAACAATCTGAAGCCAGAGGCTTGCTGTGTGTGTGGCTTCTCCTCTCCTCTTGTGCACTCACAGATTCATCTCAATCAAACAGATGACAAATACACCAGATAAACAAATACTTATTTCATTTCTTTGTATCTCTCTTTTTTTAAACAGAAGAAAAAAAACACACTGATAGCAATAAATAATTAAATTAAACTTAATTTGCAAAATGCATCGAATTTTCAATTGTTTTGTCTTATTTTCTCTGTGTGTGTATGCTCTTTTACTCTCTCTCTCTCTTGTCTAGTTCTTGTTTCGCCCAAATGTTCGATGCTGCTCTGTTTCTGCCAACACTTGACACTACGATAAAATTCTATGCTTCATTTTTCATTTGTATCTCAAGAGTATATATATTGATGATTTACACTGTATACAGTCTTTTGCCGTGCTTTCTGTACCTTGTGCAAGCATCGACTGTCAATTTTAAGGCGTATTGTGTGCACACTCATTCACATCTTTTGCTCTTTCTCTGTCTCACTCCGTGTGCGTCAATGTATGTGTGCATGTATTGTGGTGATTGTCTACTTTGTATGCAAGGTGCGCGTTCAGACAATCGGCAAAACTGAGGTTTTCTTTTCTTTCAAATACTCACACGTCTTCACACACTTACCATAGTAGAATATTTGACCGTATCGTGTGACATTATCACAAAAATAAATTTATTGCCGAGAACTCACATTGATATTCTGATTTTAATTTTGTAATCGGGCCAATCGCTTGTTTTTTGCCTATGTGAAAGTTCCTCAAGACAATCACAACACTATTGGAACCATTTACAAAGACGTTCTATGCAGATGGGCGCGGAACATACCCTAAAAAGATTGTTTATTTATTTCTGTGCAAATATCTGTTTCTTTGAATCACCATGCACTGAATGCAAGATAGTACCAGTACCAGTACCGTTGAGATCGTTTTTTTCTCACATTTGAATAAAACTTTTTTCTTTAAAATTTTCAGTCGCTTTATTTATTTGAATTTTTTTTTTGTAAAAGAAACTTTACTTCGCGTAGAGTGACGGTTGATCGATTTTTCATGCAAAATTTTATACGTGCAACTAATTTATCCTGTATTAACGTGATTTTTGTGATGCAAAGCTCAAAAATGCTTGCCTTCATCTGACCTTTTTCCATTTTGAGTGTCTGGCTGGAGTCGTTTAATAAGGCGCAATCGCTCTTCAATCTCACTTTTAATCATTGGTCTATGTATATGACCTTCACCCAGTTTCTCCATTTCCTCTAACCAATCCATCCTCTCTTGTATCTCATGTAATACTGTAACAACGAAAAAGAGAGAGAGAGAGAGAGAGAGAGAGAGAGAAAATATACAAGGACAAAATTCAATTGAGTAAACTAGTTCATGACGGATGCAAGTTTTTTTCATATTACATTCATCCACCGGATCGATGTCGTCATCGTTTGATTGAGTTGATGCAGCCCGTACATTTTGGACATTTTCAATGGAAAAATCATGCTTTAGTCCGCTCATCTCTTCTTGCAATCGCACTTTCTTCAATTCGGATGGTTCGAAACTTTTTGGAGTGAATCTTAAGAGACGAAAATTGGAAACGTTATTGAATTCAAATAAAGAATGAAAAGATACTGAATTGTAAAAAATGCATACTTAGCACGATCGTAGCCACCACTTGCTTTTATCACATCTAATGTACGACGCCTGGCATTTTTTGCACGCATCGCATCGAGACCGGGGAAACGATCGACGATTGGTTTTCGTTTGGACGTCGATTTTGGCAACGATTGACCCGACCGAAGTATATAATTGATTTTATTTCGTTGCAGAATGCTCAATTTTTGCTCTTCCATTAACACTAACGTCATGCAGAGAATGTTCAATAAGAGAATGGTGAATAAATTCATAAGAAGAATGACTTTGCAAGTGTTAAAATCAATCAATACAAATTTTTCAATAGAAGCTTACAATTTAAAAAATCATGCGTCTCTTTGCTGTACTTAACCTTTGGTAAATTGAAAATACCGCCTTTGGCAACACGTGTACTTGGCCAAATCACCTTTTCGTCGTTTGTTTCCATTTCTTTATTTTTACTTGATTTCGAAACGAACAAAAATATTTTTGAAAAGCGAATCGAACAATTTGCTGTCTTTTTATAGTTTAGTCGAAACAAAATTTGTTTACAAATGACAGAAAATATTCACGTTACCTTAGCAATGACAAAAATAGTTGATTTGTTATTTATTCGTTGTCGCAAAACAATTTCTTTTGCAGTGAAATGTTTGTTTTTCGAGCAACCAGCTGTAAAAAGTCAAAATTAAGTCGATAAAATGCAATCGTCATGTATGCACCCTGTTGTCAACCACAAAAAGCATGAAAGAAAACGAAACTCAATAATAAACCACACTCTCAACAAATTCACTTGATATTCATTATTTATTTATGAATCATCTGCTTTTAAATACAAATACCAGGTTTGTAAAATGTTTTTAATTTTTCTTATGCGCGAATGTTGAAAAAAGTTTAACCTTGTTTCTGCGCCAATTCACGTGCCTTTGCCTTTTCCAATTTGGCGATACGGGCCATTGATTTGGCACCGAGGAGACCACCACCCCAGTGTTTACGGATTTCGTCAGCACGTTCATTGTAATTGGTCTTGATGGTTTCAACCAATTTTGTCAAGTTTGAGCGGTCAGCAGCATCAACGTTGGCCAATGCAACAGCCGAGCAGGTCTTGCGACGAACTAATGTTCCCAAACGTGCCTTTCCTTTGACGATGCAATATGGGACACCCATTTTGCGGCACAATGCTGGCAAGAACAAAACAACTTCAAGTGGATCGACATCGTGAGCGATGACAACCAATTGAGCTTTCTTTTGTTCGACCAACTTGGTGACGGTGTTGGTACCTGCACGGACAAAGATTGGCTTCTTCTTGGGTGCAGTTTCCTTGCCCTTGGCCTTAAGTTCGGCTTGCTTCTTTAGGCGTTGTTTCTTAGCCAATTTCGATTCTGGCCGGTATTTTTCCAAAAGCTTGAACAATTGAACGGCGGTTTGTTTGTCCAATGTTTGGCTGAATTGGTTGATTGGTGGTGGGATCTTCAATCGCTTTTGCAAGATGATACGTTGACGTTGAACGCGAACATATTTTGGCCAGCGAACGAATCGTGACAAATCACGTTTTGGTTGAATGTTTTGACCTGAAAAAATGAAAACACATACATGATTTTCGATGTTCGCAAACGGCTTTGACGGCGGTTTTGTTGGTTTTCATTTGAAAATGATTGATTTTACTTACCGATTCCGAAATTCTTTGGTCGTTTTTCAAAAAGTGGGTTGACAACCTTCTTTGGTTCAACTTTTTTGACGGCCAAAGGTGCTGGAGCAACCTTTTTGCTTGAACCGACCACCTTCTTCTTCGCGCGTGGCTGGAAAAAATGTCAGCACAAATTATTGTTTATCTCGGTTTAAATACTTAAAGAAACATATAACAATCTATTGATTTCACAAAGTGAACGCAAATTCAGGTTATGCTCAAGTCGATGTGTGTGTGTGTGCGATACACATTTTATGTGACAAAACAACATGGACATTTTTTTTGGTAACAATAATTTTCACATATATAAGTAAAAGTTTTCATTCATTTTTTTTTTTGTGGAACTAAATTCAATGAAAATCACATTTGCAACTCGCACCAAACACTTTAGAGACATACCATAACCATCAAATTGCATTCCACCTATATGCAAACTAATATAGATTTTTAAATTCACGCATTTTTCGAAGAAAATAAAAAAAATTGGAAAAAAATCTTATGTGGAATGATTAAAGTGATATATTCTACCTTCTTAACGACCATTTTTCCGCGATTTACTCGAACGATGAAATTAAAAACTTGAGATTATTCAGATCGCTTCACACAGTGAATCCGATCCAATTCAATGTTTTTAGGAAAAGACTTATGGAAAGCAATGCGAGCCGGAACTATAGCGATTGTCAAAAAACGCACGTCGTCGAACGACATTCGGACATGCGTGAAGTTGGTTTTCGGAACAATGTAGGGGTTATCGCTGTTTGAAAAGCCTTTCTACTCCAAAGCAGTATAGACACAGAGGATTTGGATGGATGGAGCATTTTAGAATTAAAAGAAAACTTTTCAATTTTCAGGTACATTTTTTATTCACTTTTTGATAAAAAAAATTATCAAACATTTTTTGCGAAAATCAAAGAAACAGTTTAAGTTTAATTCAAAAATAGTATTGCCACTGCGTAAATTCATCCGCTTACCATGTAATATATTGTAAATAGAAAGTGTCAATCCGATTTACAAATGGCGTATGATTTGTGCAAGGTGCATTTGTGCCAATCGAATCTGTTCAAGTGCAATAAGTAAATTGAATAAAAATAAAAATTGCAGCTAAAATTCTGTGCCAAACAAATTCCTAATATAAAAATACACAAATTAAAAGGGCATTGAGTATTGAGTGTATGCTACTTAACAGCGAATTTTGATATCAAATACTCATTTCAATCCATACAAGTGTAAATATGATACTTTAACTCCGAACAAAACAAAGATATAAATATGAAGGAAAACAGTGAAAGATGAGAAGTGCATTTTATTAGCAACAGGTTGGTTTTATTCGATGGCTATATTTTTCAAACCATTTCGATTCATTTAAAGTTTCAATGCAAAATTTAACATTTTCATGTTTTGAAATATTCGTGATGTTTGTCTTTGTTGTCGTGCCATTTAAATAAAAGGGGAATAAAGACAATAAATCACATCCAAGCATCTTTGACATTTAAATAAATTCATTGACCTTTGTATTTCTTTTTCTTTCACGTTTCAATTGGCTTCTGTGTATTTTCATCGTATGCAAATAGATGTGCAACATTTTTCGTTTTCGAGCAATAAACAATCGAACAGATTCTATATGGCGCATATAAGTTGATTTTTTTCGACGAAAAAACAAAAACAAAACCAATATTAGTGTAATTTTGCTGGCTAAAAAAATGGGACATGCAGTTGTTGTTTGGGAATATGAATCGTGTCATCGCAACAATGCCAATTGGTTACCGTACACGCCAGCGGTTTCACAATTGCTTGAACGTGCCTTTGCAAAAAAATTAACGAGAGTATTACTTGGGGACGCTGACCCAAGTTTAGATCAGTACATTGTCAATATACGGACAATGGTGCAATGTAGTGAATTGGAAGAAAGTTCCGGTAATTTTTCAAATGACATCATGATCAACTGAATTCACGATTTGCTAAACCGATTCCATTTTTTTTTTGTTTTAGATTTTCCATTGATCAGAGTACGTCGAAAAATGTACAAGCCAACAAAAACAACGGCTGGCAAAGGCATCAAATGGGAATGGCTGAGTCTTACCACTTCCGAATGGAATTTGTACAATATGGACGTGCAAAATATTCTTGAAGATGTTTGGACAAAGGTAAGATTGATTTTGCTCTTAATTGTTTTTCTTGGTGAAAAATTTAATTTCTTTTTCTTCATGATTATCTGCAGGGCATTCAAATGTATGACTTTATGAGCACTTCGCTGAATCTGCCATTCCGCGTAAATCTTAGCAATTTAACAGAAATTCGCCATACAAACGGTGCTATCAAGCGAATACGACGTGTGCAACAAGCCCCATATCCATTGATTAAAGTGAATTCCGATGTAGAATTATTTGGTGTCTTAGACACGGTAGAACGTTCAACAAATCTTAATGTGCCAGTCGCAAATGCGTCAAATCCAAAACCATTACCGCCACCAGCGGTACCAACAAAATCGAAAAAACTTTTTCCGAATTTAGTTAAATCATCAAAAAATCATCAATCATCCGCTACAAATGATGGCCATCCATCGAATATTGCAGCAAATAACACCAGTTCATCGTCGAGCAGTTCAAGTTCGTCCAAATTAGCACGACAAATATTCAATAATTTGAATATATTTAGTAATAAGCAGCACAGTCAAACTGAACAATCGCAAAGTAGTCCAAATTTGACACAGTCAAAACAACAATCGAGCATAAATCAATTCAAACCGGAGCCGGTATCCAGTTTACGTCGAACCATTGAGAATGGCCATCATAACCATCATCGCCGTCTCAGTAGCAAAAGTAATAGTTCAACCGCTTCAACACAAAATCTAATTGCTACGCGACGCTCGTATCGTTCACAAGACGATGATATATATTTGGAAACGGACGGTGACAGTAGCTGTTATAGTACAAACACTTCGGCCGGTGGAATGCTCAATACGTATGGCATTCGACGACCCAGTGTCGATACCATTTCAACATATTTAAGCCATGAGAGTAATGAACGTTTACATTACGGCACGACGGAAACTACATACAGCGGAGACGATGATGTTTTCTTGCCATCGCACAAAATTAACGGATCAATTGTTGGTGTTGATGCAGACAGCGATATGATTAGTCGATTTGTGAATGTTGTTCATCCCGAATGGCCAAAGTGTAGACCATGCGTTATTTGTCTTGAAGAGTTGAAGCACAATCCAAATAATCCAGCCGTATCGTTGATTCGTTGCGAACATTTAATGCATTTAAATTGTTTGAATCATTTGATAATCACACAAAGCGAACAACAGCATAAACAACAACCCGAAAGTAATCGCCGAAATTCACCATTGTACATTGAATGTCCGGTGTGTGGCATAGTATATGGTGAAAAGTATGGAAATCAACCACAAGGGACGATGACGTGGTCCATTATACCGAAACAAGTAGCCGGGCATGAGGGACAGAATACCATTCAAATTGTTTACAAGTGAGTGTAGTTCGAAAAAATCGATCGATTTTTTTTTAGTCAAACATTTACTTACAATTCAATGATTTTTTCAGCATTGCATCTGGAGTTCAGACGGAACAACACCCACATCCAGGCCGTTCATACTTTGCAGTCGGATTTCCACGAACTACTTATATCCCAGATTGTCCACTCGGACGTAAGGTATGCCATTTCTTATTGGACAAAACTTATTCAAGCGAAAAAGATGTCTCAATACCTCTAAATTTGATTAAAGTTATTACCTTTAATTGATTTTAAATATTTCTGTT